GGTTGGGTGTAGATGGCCCTAACTCCTTCCAGGGGGATACAGCCTCCTGAGGGTGAATATTCCAAGTCAAAGCTATGAAATAAACACACAGAATGTACCCTCCAGAACTTTGCATGTGGGGCTCTGTCTACTGGGCCTCTCACTGATGAGCAATAAACCACCTGAGAGAACTGCTCTGTGCTGTGCAGCAGATCAACCAAGAAGTGTAACAGTGTAACAGAAGTTGGAACAGTGGTTCCAACTGCAGGGGCATACAAGGCTCTGCAGGGGAGATCTGCCCAGCAGCGAAATCCAAGTTTAGCAGATCACTACAATTCTCCATGAAACTACCTTTAAACGATGGAGCCAGGAAGAGAAAGAAAATATTTAAATCCACAAAAGAGGCACAAATCTCACTCTGGGTGTGTTTCATCTGTCCACCCCTGAGAGCCTCTCATTGCTAGAAGTATTCAAAAGAGAATTAGAATTTTAGTCTAACCAAATGAGGAAAATGAAGGAAGAAACAGTTTTGTCCCCTCTTCATCTTTTTCTTCTCAATCCTGGGGCCAGGACCCTTACGGGTGGTGGGTGGGTAGGAGGGGAGAGGAGACAGCCCCAAAATGAAGCTCATGGCTCATGCCTTTCTCTTCCTGTCCATCATGGGCACAGTGTTCTGGCTCCACTTACAGGGAGAGGTGGAGGAAGACACACAGCAATAGGAGATCACTGAGTTTAGAGCAGAAAGGGGTCTCAAGAGATGACATGGAGAGGCAGCAGGACACAGGGAAGCAGCCTGTCCAGGATCAAACCCCAGCCCCACTCTTTACTAGCTGGGTGATGTCAGGCAAGTATTTGACCTCCCTGTTCCTCAATTTCTTCACCCACTCCAAATGGAGATGATGATAATACCCTTCTCTCAGGATCGCTATGAGAATTCTGAAATATGCAAATATTTGTAGGCCTATTATTGTCAGAGGAGGCGGTCCTGGGGCTTTAGGCTGCACTGATTCACATTCTCATTTCGGGAAGTGTGTGGCGCTCCTGTCTTTATAGGGAAGTGTTCCAAGAGAAGCCACAGCATTTAAGCTTCACAGACAGCTTTCCTGAATTGGAGTAAGAGATGGGTTGGTCCGTGACAACTATTCCCCAAACCAAAATGGCAGCTCAGCAGCTTCATCCTGGGGATCTTCCTCCAAGTTCATTACATTCACTTTCCTCTCCCATCTTCGCTACTTCTAGTCTTTCATGACTCATTCCCCTCTTGTGTGTCCTCTCAGCATTTGGCTACCAGGAATCAGTAGAATAATCCAAACCCATCCCGTTCTCTCTGTCCCAAACACCTGGCCTCAGATTGCCTCAAACTTGAGTCACTCAAATCTCAACAAGGGAAACACGAAGTCTGGGTGGCTCCCCAGCTGGGCTCGCTCTAACAAGGGGGTTACAGCAGATGGATTCCTCTCTGTGACCGATTATTTTCCATGGCCTTTGGCCATGTGACCTCGGACCATGACCTTGTCAGTTCTCATAAACTAACCAGGAGTGGAATGAATCACACTCGGAGAGGAAACCTCTCGGGGAAACTGCAAGGGGCTGTGAGAGGGAGGAGAGAGCCGGGGATCCCAAAGGCCATGGGAGCCTCACCACCCCTCATGCCTTCCCTGCCTCTAAGCAGCTTTGACCTTACACAAAGGGAAGGGGGAGGAGGCAGTGGCCATGGGAGGGAGGCTGGACTGTAGGAAGGCTACTCTTCTGAATAAGACTTAGGGTCTCAACCCAAGAGCCCAATTGTCCCTACTGCCCTCAACTCAGAGAAATTACTGGCCTCAGCTGCTCACTTGGTTGTGGACACCCAAAACCTTATTCTTAGGCACCCCAATCCACCATAACAACATACATGAAACAGCCAACAACACACATGCACGTGTGCACGAGTACCCATCCCTACTCCGAGGACTGGGTATCCTGCAGGAGGTGATGAAAATGTTGGGTAAGGCACTCTAGGCCCCTGACATCGTGTTGATGGTGAAGAGGTTTTGAGAATGCTGCTTGAAGCATTTACATTACACCAAACACATTGATTAAAGCTGAAAATGAAATGCCAATGAAATCTTTATACTCTTCAATATCCCAGATTTGGGTGTTGTGTGCACAAAACAGTGGTATTCTCTGCCTCAATTTTTGCTTTAAATAATCTTTGAATTTCAAAGTTTTGTGTCTCTGTAGCTTTAGATCATAAGTTTCTTTGAGTTCTCTGACAAGTTAATACATTGTTAGAGAAATCATTTCTGAATAAAATATGTACATGTAAACAAATCCCTTAACTATGTATACATTCTAATTACATTCTGGGCATTCATTTGATTGGGTCCTGGGGAGAGAGAACAAGTCCGTGTGTCTGTGGACAGAGCACATGAATTTATGCATACACAGAAACTCAGAGCACAGCACGCTCTTTTAAGAGTCCGAGCTTTATCTTTCAACAAGGTTTAGCTGCTTTCCTTTTGCAAATGCATTTAATTTTATCTGGAAACTTTCTGACATTAGAAATAGAACAACTGTAGTTTCTCATTATGTTTGCTGCCAGAATCCATGCTTGGTTGCTCAACTAAAGACCTTATATTGCTAATTACTACCACATGCCCATATCCCAAGCGAAAGCAAACTTATTGATTCTGACAGCCCATTCTCTCAACACTGAATTCCAAATGAAAACTCAAAATTTGGCCAAACATAACATTTCATCAATCTTGTTTTACTGACTGGAAAAACAACATCAAACAAAGGGTGCTAATGGCCCTTCATTACCGTGCCTTTCCCAAGCTTATATTTTCTGATGAAAGATCTAAGTGACCAAAGGGCTTCTTTAAACTACTTAGTAATTAGCTTTTGAACCAGGAAACAATGCGTAAAGTAAAGTGAACAGGCCCGGTGCTGATGACAGGACGGACTCTGTGTCTGCTGGGTCGGGAACAGTGGGGACCCAGAAAGAACATTAAAAGCAAAGTGCATTTTCATAAAGGGAAAAGAAAAAAGAGAGAGAGAGAGAGAACACCAGGCTAAAAGTGGTGATAAAAGATTACAGAGCCAGAACAGAATGGCAGGAAGTCTGTGATCTGAAGTCATCAGCACCTGAAAGTTTGGGTGGAACTGCTGGGGTGAAAGATGACCGGATCGGACTGGGGGCAGTGAGGGAGTGCTGGGCTGAGGGCCCATCTGGGTCATCTGGCACCAAAAGCTGCCGGCCTCCAGCCCACCCACCAGCCCACCCACATTGACTACGAAACCTATTTCATTAAAAAAAAAAAAAAATTACCTGGAATGAGAGTCAAGAAATATTTTCAACCTAGTCTTCGGGGCAATTGATTTTATTGACATCTTCAGAGGCAGTGATTGGGAAATGCTGGCAGAGACAGTGGGAGACAGGGAGGCCATAAAGAGTCCCCCAGGCCCTCACAGTGCCTTCTGCTTTATGGAGACCTGTCCACACCTTCAAGGCAAAATGAATCGAGAGGTTGTTTTCCTCTTGGCATGAGATACGGGACCAATGGGAATCTCTGGACTTCTTTGGCCTTTTGGACCCAACCGATGGCCCAGAAATCAGAACAGCTTGGTTCCAACCTCATCCAGGGCCGTTAAGATAACAGTAAGGGGGGGACTCCGTTAGAGGGAAGATGGAGCGACGTGCTGCCAACTGGCCTCCTCTCGCCCACTGTCCTTCGTGCCTTTGAAAGGAAACTGGTGTCCTGTGGGTCGTTCAAGAGAATAAGCCCTTTTGTCCACCTCCTGATTTCCTGTGCAGAGGCCTGGACACCTGAGCTCAGGAAGCATTGGACTCACTGACCAAAGGGGAGGGTCCGCTCCGTCCGACACGGCTGACTGTCAAAACAAGGAAGGGGCAGCAGCGGAGGGAAAAACAACACTCCTGGTCTGATTTTATTTCCTCTTAAAAAAAACCAAAGAAGCTCTTTAAGAGTTCATTTGAAAATGAACGAGAAGGAAAACAAAACAGTTTCATGACAGGAGCTTCCGTGACTGGGAAGAGGCACGAGTGATGAAGGTTTTCTGTGTCTTGATCCGTTCGGTAGGACGGTAGTTCCTGAGTGTGTACACAGGTACAAGCTCCTCACTCTGTCTGTTAAAGATGTGTACATTTAACTCTACGTAACTTATGCCTCAAACCAAAACAAACAAAGGTGACTGCCCCAGAAAAGCTTTAAAAAATAAATAAAGGATGGCTTCTTCCCACCACCTCTCCCCAACAGCGTTCCTATCTTGAGATGGTAAGGTGCTCCACCTTACTTAGGAGAAAACCTTGGGGTCTCTATTGAACTTGCACATTGATACTGAGAGTGATGAGGTGATCTGAGCACACACTGAAATAGTTTCCAAGAAAAGCATTCACGTTTGAGAAGCCAAACAGAAGATTCATCAGGAATAGCAGGGAGTACCCTAAAATACCAGAAATATAATATTTCTTGCCCAGAAGGAATGTCAGCTGAGCAATGAGTCCCTTTGAGGATAAGACAGGTGCCTCCTGGACGAAGAGGAGAACTGGGCTCCCGGTGGCCACAGTGCCTTTGCGGTCGGCCAAATGACTGGATCTGCCCCCCGCAAGGACTTCCCTGCCAGACTCTTATCCTGCGTTCTTGCTACATATAAACCATCATAGGAGGGCATCATACAAGTTTGAGGGACCAGAATTTTATCAGCTAGCCAGATGATGTGAAGAATGAATGAGTTTTGTCTAGTTGTTAGGAGGTCAGAGCAGAAAATATGGGCCCAGTTATAAATGGACTCCTTTCAGGACAAATCCATTACAGCTCTTGGAGTCTGTGAATGGGAGTTAGTCCAAGTGTGGCAATGTCCTGGGGTCACCTCTGACATCACACCCCATGCAGAAGGTGGGCCTTCCCTCATAGAAGCACCCGCTGGAGTGGGGGAGGGGCGGGATTCAGATGGCACCTCTACAAGGGACTCCTGAAAATCACTCAACCACGTCTCTTCTGATGCAACTGACTTACTTTCTGCCTCCATGTTTGTTAAAAGTCCCGCCGAATTTATTCCGATTCAGGATGAGAGCAGCAATTTCGGGCACGTAGCGAGCAAACATTGCCTACATGCATGAAACAAAGAAACAAGAGCCAAAAAAAAAAAAAAAAAATGGCATGCAGAGAGGATTCGACCGCAGCGGAGGCAGCAAAACCTCTTGTCATACTTACTTTCTTCCACTAACCGCACTATAGGAGCCCCCGTATTTCTTGCGGTTTCCTATTAACTCTATGATTTCAGGGACGTA